AGAAAAAAATATTTGAATATTGTTATATTTAAAACTTAATGTACGAGTTTATTTGAACAACAATATTAATTTACAATAATAACAATCTTTCGTGGAAACTGTAAATCTCTATAATATAATTATAGGCGCTGTTATGTTTTTGATCACGTGATCAAAGTATTGAGAGCATCTTACCTCGCAAGTGGGCAAGCGCCAGTGTTCACAGTAAAAAAATGCCGGCGATTTATGACGTTATATATTTCCCTACGGTACTGCGGCAGCATATTGGCAGTCTATAACGGAATGAATTTTTCACCAGTGAGAGTACTAAGCACAAGAACACGATATCTCTCCATCTAGTAGGGAGCCGCCCTACTAGATGGAGAGAGATGGAATGAGAGCCTGATAAGAGATGCAAATGATCAACTTAAGCCAGCAGACAGTCGATGACGACAGTAGGTAGCTTGAGTTAATAAGCGGAAAAAAACTAGAGGTTTTTAGCAACATTGAAGCCCGTTTCTTCATTTCCAAAAATAGTTTACATGCGTACACTTAATATACAAAATCGCATGACTTTTACGTATCGTAATCCACTTTAAACCAATTAAACCGCAAAATAGGAGCAACAAACGATCAACGGTCAAGTTCATTTCAAAATTCTCTTCTGATGTTATAAACTATATATTTTTTTGAATGATATCTTTCCTATTTACTTACTCATTTTTGATCAGCTATGTATGTACTGTTAGCTTAGCTAAGAGAAGGCCAGGATTAACAGCTTCATCGGACACGCATACGAATCATATGGTTTGCTTTGTCATTCATAATGCGTACAGCAAAGGAGTGGAATAGTTTGCCAGCATCTATATAATAAAAAAAACTCCCACTTTTTACATAATTACAATAGCAAAATAAAATAGTAGTATGGAGACAAGCCTAAACTAGGTTACCCTGTGCTATGGGTCTCCTGGCAATATATATATAGTTTTTTATTAAGCTAGGATGAGTCATAGAAAATATTCTAAATAAGTGCTTATTTTATCAGTAGTTAACTGGTGAAGTACTGTGAGTGTATATAACGCACAGCACATTAACCCACTCCCAATCAAAGAACATTTCATTGTTAACTATGTGTCTATTTCCACAGGAAGTTTTAATGCAATGGCGTTTTGAAAAATTCTTATTAATTTTATATAATATTTTCTTTGTAAAAGGTACACCTGTTAAGGCGATATTACACGGTTAATTTTTTACTTTTTATTTTCAATGAATCATTACAAATTATAGAGAAATTGCGCATTGGTATCCTTTCCGACGAACGTACGAGGTTATTAATTTTAGAATTAGAATAAGGGTAACAAACGAGCACACAGTCCACCTGATGGTAAGTGGATACTGTGGCCCATAGGATTCTACTAGGGAATGCAATCCAGCACCCAAAAGATAATCTTGCAAATCCGCAAGATTGAGTCCATCAGTCCCGCGGATCCGCAAGATTTGCAGGATTTTACAATATTTTAGAATTATTTGCCCACTAAATTATTTTCTAAGTCAGTGCCTAAATGAAACAATAGAATATACTTAGAAGAAACAAATAGTATAATTGAATCCATGGAACATTTTGCTGACTAAAAAAATCTGTGATGACTTTTACCTTTTTAGCCGGCGTTAAAGTATTTGTTGTGAATGCTGCTGAGAAAAGCTTGTACTGGCGGTTTCAATATCACTAACACTACGTACAGATTCCTCTATTATCTTATACTTCGTATGCAAGTGCACTTGCAAGCCCTCAGTAGATCGAGCGCTTATTTTGATGATAGAAGGACAACGTTTACACCTAGCAGAAAAGCCATCCTCCGATCTTAAAAAGTGCTGCCATACAAATTTATTACTGTCGTATTCCTTATAAATTACTTTAGCATTCATTTTTAAGTTCCCAATTCCAACTTTACATAAACCCAGTTACTAATTCATTTATTTAATGTCGCTGTTCAAATACAAAAAAAAAAAAACTGTTTAAATTTATTTCAATTTAAATCGCATGTCACAAAGTACGCACTAGTACGCACAGTACGTCACGAACTCACGAGTCAAAACTGAAATAGTGCAAGCATTAGAAGAGTATCGACAGATATTTTTAGGAATCCCCGTACAGAGAGAAATTCCCATTCACTCGTCACTCGACTCACACTCATAAGTACTTCAATTTGGGGATCCGACTATTGTCGTTCATTCGTGCCGTACATGATGTTATGCGAATTTAGGCCGGAAAAATAAAATCTTGCAAATCTTGCGGATCTCGCACGTGCTATCCCGCGCTAATTTCATGCGGGATCCCGCATTTGCGGGATTGCGGATCCGCGGGATTGCATTCCCTAGCTTCTACATTTATTCTCGATTAGGAATCAAAACGCAGATGTGTTGTCACCCCTGAGGACTAAGATGGATTGCGTCGTATCCAGTAAGAATCTCCTAGGGTCTCCAGATCTCTACACTCACCATACGAAACACAGCAGTATTAAGCTCACATTCATGATACAACCATAATATAGCTGGAGCGTGGCTTTACCACGTATAAGACTGCTAAAACTTTTGAAAGGCTTTGCGCTTAAGGGGATAGAGTAAGTCAGCTCAAATTCTAATTTCGTCCCCACTTGCCCGCGCGTCGTATGCTATGTACCGACATGTTTGTAATCACTAATACTGTAAATAGAAAGGTCGTTAGACACTTATTTCATTAGGTTTATCATATTTATGGTAAAAAAAAGCCTGTTTCTTAACGAGCAATCCAAGCCCCCCCCCCAGTCGCTTCTTATTTTTATTACGGTTATTTCCTATTTTAATTTTACGTCGTCCTGTTGAGTAATGTATATTCTGATCGTAAGCGACACAACCTCCCCGTTCAAAGGCCGAAACGAAGTGACCGTGCGGCAGGATCAGGAATCACGCTTCACAAGTTTATTTCTTTTTAAGTATTTTAAAAAAGTAAATAACATAAGCACTGCTTTATAGTTAGTTCAGTTAGTATGCAAAGTTTCATGATCTTATTTAAAGTATGTTATGAATACCAGCAGTTTATTGCTTATTTTGGAGGTAACATTGGATTTTTTTTTCGATCGAGAAAATTTTACGAAATCGTGTTTTCGTCTAACATAATCATTAACATTAATCCTCAACTTTACCATATATTTATTTCAAAATTAATGCTGCAATATTTTCGGCATAACGAAGGATCTTGCTAAGCCATTTGAGATTATATTTCCCCTTAAGGTATTGCATACATGCCGTATGCAATACCTATACGCTTTGCGCTTAAGGCATGCATGCGATTCCTATGCACTTTGCTCTTAAGGCATGCAATATAATCATTCTATTCAGAAAAAGATTTTTTGTAGTGTAAATTCCAAGTGCAGACGATTTAAGTTACCTTCTTATCACTTGCAGGTATAACTTACTAAAATTAGAAACCAGGCGTCAACAGATTCAAGCTTTTTTACTGTGTGACTCTCGTTAGAGAGTAATTGCGTTCGTGCTGTATATCTGTCATAACAGGTACGATTGCTATAAGTATATTTTTGTAGCTAATGTATTTCAGATTATGAAATATTGTGTAAACTGTTTGTTGATAATAATTTAAAAAAGGTATTAATATTTTTAGCTTAAAAGATACACTGCATTCATATTTATAATCTGGATTATAAATGAAACCTACTTCTAGAATAAAAAAAATATTTCTCAATGAGGAGGGCGAAGTCGTATATAGGCTGTAACTTTACTTTACTTGATCCTGGACCTGAATTTGATCTGGAGGTTGCATGATTGTCTCTCTCTGACTGTCCAACTCGTCCAAACCTCTTCAAACTCGTAAGGACCATAAGCCGTACCTCCGTAAACACGATGCAAAATTATAAAAAGCCTCGTAGAAAATTAAGTCGATGGAAACTTGCTTCATACTTAAATTAGACAAAAAAATGTAATGTTAATCTGAAAAGGCCGTTTCGTGCGAGTTGGCGGTCATACTTTTTTGATTATATCACCGCGTAATCGAACAGAATTCGGCCAATCATCCAACTCGCGCGTATTGCCTCTACACATCTAGTGTGGGAAGGATCTTTGGAGAATTGGACTATCCGTGTAGAGGAGGCAATAAAATAACTTTTATATTTTCCATTACTTTAATCATCAGTTTGACATAAGTAACATTAATATAATGATGCACGTTGCAATGTTCTGGAAACACATAAAAATAATGTTACGAACAAATTATTAAAGAACTGCATTTGACTTATTAATAATGGCAAAATGGTGCAAAATTGATGCATGGTAACGCAAAGAATTGTTCATCTGTATAATATGCTGAAGTTCCAAATTGTAAAATTACACAAAAATAAGTGCTGGTCAAAACAGCTTGCTAAAATTCAAAAAACCTATAAGACCGCGGCACGTAACTCTACCGCTAAACGAAACGTGGAGGTGACAGCTGCGAATGTCGTATCAGTACGACCGACGTCGGAGAGCCAATCAGCGCGTGCGAATGATACGCACAGTCAATCATACGCAATAATGCGCAATACAGCCAATTATGCGCTACAACAGTCACCGCTAGCCTTTCGTGCCGCGAGTTGTAGTTTGTGTTCTTGATATTTTGCGAAAAATCCTTACTTATAAAGTTTTAAGGGCACGATGGGTCCGTGCTCTAATACGTGTTCGCGAAATTCAATTAACTTAGAAATATTTAAAAAATTAAGAGATGCAGGTTTCTTAACGACGTATTACTTCACCGACGAGCACGTGATAAATCAGTACTTAAATTCTCGTCTAAAACCTAACCCTTGGCTTGTTTTGTCCTTAGTTAGAATACCAGCCATAGATGTGTGTAGTTTTATGCGTTCATTACCAAATTTCTAAACAAAAGGTACATTGGGTGACGTCAAGACCTATTTTTGTCATTTGCCCTTTTTTAAAATACTATTCAGTCTTTAACTTATATCTATAGCGTTATTTAACACACACACAACAATTTAAATTATCACGTACATTTTAAAATTTATCATCTCAATTAGTAGTATCACTAAGGAGACAGCAATCCCGTAAAGCATGAGAGCCAGGACTGGGCGGAGATCGAGGATTCCCACGCTACTGAAAGCGGATATTCTGTGCGAGCACTTTGGTTTTGGAACTTGCATCCGCTTGTTTATAGCTGATTGTAGACCAGACTCGCGGATTCGCTTAAAACTATAAAAGTTTAAAATTAAAAAGAAAAACATTTATTTTCATAATTAAACGTGTTTCAACTCTCGCATAAATCCTACTTTTATATTGCTCTTTTTCTTATATAAGCCCAAAAACTGGCTTTTAATAAGAAAAAGAAACTACAATCTCTTCTGGTGGTAAGTAATAATGAGGCCCTAGGTGTAAACGGAATTGTCTTAGATTATTCACTCTTGATGGCATCTACTTTGTTATCGTACGAAAGCTACTAAATTCCAATTATATCACTAAGCTTAGTAGATACTTAAGTCAATTATCAACTATATAGGTAGTTCATTAAGTTCATAGGTTTGCGATTTAATTGCCAACGAAATCAGTATTTGTAAAAACACAAACTATATCTAGCATTGTGGTCTTGAAGCGAGGACGGTCATTCGACGAGCGCGACAAGCTCATACTCCTAGAGGAGGAGTTATTATTCGAAGCATATATTCTTGTTTTATTTTTTCTTGAATCGATGTTGATGAAGGCCGCTCAAGTTGATTTTGGAACTTGCCGCACGTCACCGAAGACTTTCCATTCACATTTCGCTATTTATCACACCCAATAAATATGCAGGTATAAGTACTGATCAGTGACATAACTGTGTACCGCAATTGCTGCTTACCTTACAACCGTACGTACCGATTATCGTAAATCCTGTCTTTTATGACAGAGATTCATATCCATAAGTAGACTTTTAACGAGCTAATATCGAAAAAGAAAGTAGACGTGGTAGAGCCATGTTGCAGTTATATTAGTAGCATAGTTGTAGCACGAATGGGTCGGCTCGACCGGGGAAGGACCACGCTCTCACTGAATACCAGCGTAAAATAGTAGTTTAATGCTGCTGTGTTTCGTATGGGAAGTGTAGAGAACAGGAGACCTTTTTACTGGAAACGAGGCACTTCATCTTAGTCCTTATGGGTGACAACGCATCTGATTTTGATTTGCAATCGAGGATAGATGTAGATCTCTACGGGCCGAAGCAACCACTTACCATCAGGTGGACTGTGTGCTCGTTTGTCACCCTATCCCATAAAAAAAGAAGGGGAAACATTAAATGAAATCGACTCAACATTTACAAGTACCTGACTCTCAATAGCTCCAAATATGGCGAGTCCTTTTTCACGGGTACAAATGGGTCAAATCCCATCATAAAATCCACCTCTACCAAGTCACACTTTTCCATCTCTAAGAAGGTCTGCTCCACGAGGCGGTACACTGGTTCTACTATAGAGTGAAAAGCAAACAGGCCCTACAAACAAACAGTAAGATAATAAATTACATGACAACCACAGGTCAGTGTAAAACCAACATTTATGCAAAAAAAAAATGTAGTGCCATTTTATAACTGTGGTTATCGGAAGGAATCGTTGCACTCAGCATAACCTCAAATGGCTTAGCAAGATCCTCCGTTATGCCGAAAATATTGCAGCATTAATTTTGGAAATAAATATATGGTAAAGTTGAGGATTATTGTTAAGGACTATGTTAGACGAAAACACGATTCCGTAAAATTTTCTCAATATAAAAGAAAAATCCAAAGTTACCTCCAAAATAAACAATAAACCGCTGTTATTCATAAAATACTTTAAATAAGATCATGAAACTTTGCATACTAACTGAACTAACTATAAAGCAGTGCTTATGTTATTTACTTTTTTTAAAATACCATTATCTTCACTGTAAAAAGAAATTACCTAAACTATCGGCTTCTTGAAGTTTGATTCCTGCCGCCCGGTCAGTTTCGCTTCGGCCGTTGAAGGGAGATGTTGTGTCGCTTACGATCAGAATACACATTACGCAACAGGACGACGTAAAATTAAAATGGAAAATAACCGTAATAAAAATAAGAAGTGACAAGGTTGGCGTTAAGAAACAGGAATAAATATGATAAACCCAATGAAATAAGTATCTAACGACCTGTCTACTTACAGTATTAGTGATTACAAACATGTCGGTACATACATGCATACATACAGCATACGACGCGCGGGGAAGTGGGGGCGAAATTAGAATTTGAGCTGACTCACTATATCCTCAGTCTTTTTTCCCTCCCCATCCATCCATTACAGACTATAAAACTCCACTGCTGAACATAGGCCTCCCCCATAGATTGCTCTATAGGGGGATTTTGCCATAGTTGACACGCTTGGCGAGCGGGTAGTCAACCGCAGTTTTTTTTTATTTTGAATTAGGAAGATTTTTTATCCCCACAATAGAATTTTCTTTTGTATCGTTTACATACATAAATTTCACGAGGACAAACATCCATACCCGGATCAATAATATGTAGGCCATACAAATACTTGTTTCGTACGGGATTCAAGCCCGCCCCCCCGAGGCCACGGAACCGACTAAAATCTATAATGCACCAAATCTAAAATAGTCTTTATATATATAAAAATCAATTGCTTTCCGTTAGTCTCGCTAAAGCTCAGAAATGGCTAAACTACTTTTACAAATTTTTGTGTGTGTGTTTAAAGTATACGTGGTAGAGCCATGCTGCAGTTATATTAGTAGTATAGTTGTAGCACGAATGGGTCGGCTCGACCGGGGAAGGACCACGCTCTCACAGAATACCAGCGTGAAATAGTAGCTTAATGCTGCTGTATTTCGTATGGTGAGTGTAGAGAACCGGAGACCCTTTTTACTGGAAGCGAGGCATTCCATCTTAGTCCTCACGGGTGACAACGCATCTGCATTTTGATACGTAATCGAGGATAGATGTAGATGTCTATGGGCCACAGCGACCACTTACCATCAGGTGGACTGTGTGCTCGTTTGTCACCCTATCCTATAAAAAAAAAATGGGATCCTGGATGGTTTAAATTCACAACTGGGTCCAGTAGGTGGCGCTGTTTTCAAGGTCCAGAAATCACCCATGTGCGAAGCCGGGACGGATCGCTAGTACTTATATAAAAAAGACATGAATGGGTTATACCTGAAACATATTATACTAGTATACTGCTATATTTTTTATAGGATAGGGTGACAAACGAGCACACAGTCCACCTGACGGGAAGTGGATGCTGTAGCCCATAGACATCTACATCTATCTTCAAATAAGAATCAAAATGCATCTGCATTTTGATTCTTATTTGTTGTCACCCATGAGGCCCAAGATATACATACTCGTATTATACTAGTTTCTATTTTGAACGACGATGTAAATCAAAATAATACAAATATATAATGTCAAATCGTAACGTAACAGAAATAGTCAACCGTGGGTTACAGCTGAATAGGAATCGTGACAAATTGCACACCTAGTACCCACCCTAATAACAATGGGATACCTCTGTAATGATATTTTTTCATTCAGGTTCATCAGATTTGGTCATGTAGAAAGAATAAATGAGGAAAGAGTGACAAAGCAAGTTTATATGGCAGTGAACGGTAGAGTTGGGAAGGGACGTCCTAGAAGAAAGTTTAAATATTTTAAAAATGGGCCACATTAGAAGTACCCTAAACCGATGAGCATGTATGCGTAGATATATGGATGTAAAGGAGGCGAAAGAGGTATGTCAGGATTGTGCCAAATGAAAGTCCGTAGTCTCTGCCTACCCCTCTGGGTTACAGGCGTGAGTGTTTATGTATGATATTCTGTCTAAAGCTGCTGGAAATAATATAAAAAAAGAAAAATCAAAAATCATCAGACGACTTTAGAAACTAAAATTAAATTAGATAAAGAAATTAATAATCATATTATCGTTATTATCTTCCATTTAGAAAAAATAATCCAGATTCAAAGATGGTGAATGAAATTAACTATGATTTTGTATTCGTTGGTAAAATAAAATTTGCTGATAAGATTTTGAGCAATATAGCTCTTACTCATGCATCAAAAGATTTCGTAGAAATAGTCAATTAAAAGGTTTCGTTGAAATAGTCAATTAATTTGTTTTGACCGATAATAATGACTACCTAGAATGCCGTAATGGATTTTAAAAATGGCTCAGTCCCAGATTTTGATGACATAACATCAAAAGTCCTAAAACCTACTGTTGATTTTCTAGTCTAGTCATTCCTAACACTCAAGCAGTGGCGAAGCTAGAGCTCCAAACTAGGGCAAGCCCAAGATATAAATTGATAAAAATATAGATTGTTGTTATTAGCAGTTTTATAAAAATACACCAATCTTGATATACGCTTCAGTTTCATATTCAGTGCTGTCAAGGACGTGTTTAACAAAGCACACAGCAGGCGTACTATTGCTAGATAGATTGTATTACATATCAGCAATTGCATAGCTTTGATGCCTTTGAAGAAAGCCGTTTGGGTTTGTTTAAGCGAAGGAAAAAAAATTACATCCAATAGAATACATGAACAAAAGTAAAACATGAACAAAGTGCAAACAATGTACAAAATTAAAAGAAACAAATTATTTTCATTCTAATGGATAAGCGATAAGATAAGATAAGTGGAATCGTCTCGCTTTCTTAAGGAAAAAGGAAACGTAAAATGTTGGTGAACGTTTTAATTGTACCAATAACTGTTTTTTAATCGCGATAATTGATAAGTCTGAAATACACTCTTGACCTTGTGTATTATCTAAACAAAGTTTAAATATTTTATCTTTTCCTCTCCGATTAGCACTTTAACACACTTCAATTCATCACATGGAACACTATTATCCTCCATTTTCATCAAAATCTTTAAAAAAGCACAAATTTCGAACTCGCAATATTAAATCGCTTAAGCTAAATACACAGAGTAAATAAACATTGAAATGTGAAATGAACTTGCAAACGTATTGCCCGCGCGCCTCCGCTTTTAACAAATTAATTCCTAAAGCCTGGCTTTAAATCTCTATACTAATTGCTATATATACAATCGTAGTTATATTTCATTATAGAATATTTTGCCATAGGTTAAAAAGAGAGCGATCGTCTTCTCGAAAGCCCCGTAAAAAGCCCACGCGAGTGAGGGAGACAACCAATCGCTCTATTAAAACTTATTTTTTATGACAGCAGCAGTATCGCTAAGGCAATACGAGGTCATCGGTCGACATGTGTCGAACAGTGGAGTGCGCGGGAAATTTGAAATAATTTGTAACAGTTTACGAGTTATTTTATTAGTTGATATTATTGATTGATTCAGTTTTAATAAGGCAAGCCGGGTTTTTCGGCTTTTATGGAGGCTTCGCCACTGCACTCAAGTCTACAATTTGAGTTACAGAGGAGTCTTTCTTGACTGTTTTTAATCAGCACTCATTAAACTATTTCACAAGGTGACAGAGGCTGTGTCAGTAATCAGCGGTATTCCTTAATTTAGCAAAAACCTTTAACATTGTCTATGTCTTGCTCCTCTTGAATAAGTTAGAGGTGATTGGTATTTGTATCGTCGTCTTAGAACTATTTGATATCTATCTTAAAAATAGAACCCATAGGGTAGTAATAGATAATTTAATGTTGTGTAAAAATAAATGAGATTCTCAACCTATATTGTATGGTATACCTCAAGGCAACATCCTTTAACATACACACACACACACACACACACACACACACTACGTTTCAAAAGGAGTTTTCTTCCGCGTACAACGTCTCTGTGGAATAGTTTACACCGGCGATTTTTCCGGACCGATACGACCTGGGGACCTTCAAGAAAAGAGCTTACTCCTTTCTAAAGGGCCGGCAACGCACCTGCAATTCCCCTGGTGTTGCGGTTGGTCATGGACGGCGGTAGTCACTTAACATCAGGTGAGCCGCATGCTCGTTTGCCCCCTCTTCTATAAAAAAACACACACACATACACGCACACGCACACACGCACACACTTTCAAGTTAACGCCCATTGCGCAATAACTTCAAGTGCGTTGGGTATTACGTGCAAAAATAAAAAAAACCTTTAATAACAATTCTTCTTTACATTTATTTTTGTAAAAACATTAAGTAGATATTATACAATATGTAACGTAATTAACGCACACCCTCAGACACCCCAATTAGTACATTATGTTATAATCATAATACATACACTGAATTTTTAGTTAAACATTTTTATGCACTGATTATTTATCAAATTAGTTATACTAATTCCGGAAGAATGTTGTGGTCACAGTACAAATTCATGAACGCAAAGACTTTAACGTGCTTGAAATAAAGTTCATTTTTCTTAATTTTTATTGAATGACAGAATTAGTAATAATACAAATAAAACTGCACTCTTAAAAGTCTTATTGCCTTAAGTTACGGTCCATTTCAGTTTGTTTGACTGTACAGATTTAGTGTGACTGTAATTTACGTAGTTTTAATTATTTTTGGGATAAAAAATTACCTATATAAAAGATAGGAATCGATTCAGTAAACGATTCTGAACAAACTACTTTCTCAAAGTGCATTAATTATGTTACGTGTTATATAGTATTTTCCATGATATTATAAACTTAAAATGGCGGTGTCCGTCATTGACCGTTATCGTGATCTGTTGACATAAACGCAACCCTGTTCTTAACCTAAGAAGCATTATATAAAATATCTAGTATTTTACCTGTCGGATTTTTTCAACACCTTCTTTGATCTCATAAAAGTGTGCTTTACCATGTGATGGCTTAACCCTCTTGGAGATTTCGACTCGAACTGCATCTGAATACATCTGAACATCGAAAAGAATAAATATTTTATGATTATGACAAATATTCAGTAGTTGCATTGAATTCAACATCTAATGTTTTAGAAGACGCATTGGTCATGAGAATATTAGGCTACTCATTTCAAAGTCCACTACTGAACATAGGCCTCCCCTATAGATTGCCTGCCAACTACTATTGCCCGGCTTGCATGGCAATTATCTTCTTTTGAGCTTGGCAAGCAGATTGGCAACCACATTTTTTTTCTTTTGAACTGCTAATAGGAAGATGCTACTGCTCACTTCTTGTGTTATTGTCAATTTTCCTCTGTCGCATAAAATTATTGTATGATCTTCGGTTCGCAAGATTTCAGATTGTAAGAACTTTCGGAAGTTGGTGAAAACTGAATTTTAAAATTCCATTACATTCAAACATACAGATCAAGCTAATAAAAGCGTGTTATTTAACAGTAGCAACAACCACTTGTTATATAAAAATGTATTTTTTTAACTTACACCAAAAACGAAATGATTATAGTCTACATCATTAGCGGCCAATGTTAGCTTGGACTGTGATAGTTGTGTTAAAGATCGAACAGCATTAGATGGAGCTTGAAGCAGAACCACTATATTGGCTGAGTACGCAGCGTAAAGCGCCATCAACGCTGTGAATATCACCCACAGCATCATACGACCTGGTAATAATATTTTAACTATGTAATCATTTCTGAGAGAATTTTAATTATCATAGTCACTTTTTTAATTTCTCATACATGCATATTTCACGATACCTTCTCGGCGACACACCTGAAATTGTTAACTGCAACTTATGTGCTGATTTATAATGTGCTGAGTGGTAATATAAAATATACGAAATAAGCATGTAGGAGAAATAAAAAAAAACAAGTTTGGTCATAATCAAACTTGTTTTTTTTGACACGACTGAAGTAAAACTTCTTTAGCTCCATCTGTATGCATATATATTATCAATATATTACCAATATATATTAAATATATTTACAATTTTATTCACTTAAAACGTAGAATATTTAATGTATTTCACAAAATATTATTTCAAAAAATAACTGGATATGAGAGAAAGAGAGAAAGCAAATGTGCACGCGCACTGCTCTCTATTGCTTATATCGCCCAATCAACTCCCGTTTGCCTCGCCCGATCACACTTTTCGTAACGCTTTCGTCACGCGTTCGCCAGCTTACTCCCAAGTCAAGCGTGCGTAAAGAAGTTTTACTTCAAAAAGAGGTGTGACGTTCGCTAACAAGAACTAATTGGAACAGCACGGAGGAGTCATCCTTTCCCTAAAACCCTTTCAAAAGAGAGAGAAGGTATATCCAGCTGTGGAACGTATAGTCTTTCACTAGACTGTAACAACTTGACTGCTTCCGTTATAGCGTCCGTTATCGTAAAAGCCTGCCAAAGGTACACTGCTGAATATAGGCTCCCACAAAAATTGCCTCATAGGGGCGATATTTGTCATAGTTTCCACGTTTAGAAGACGAAGTCACAACTGCAGCTTTCATTCTCTTACTTGTTTTTAGGAAGACGTTGCTGCCAATCTCTCGGTTTGTTTCACTCCGTGGTCTCTTACGACACCCATTCAACGATATATGGTAGTGGATATTCTGATACCGCTACACGGTTTATAGCCAAAACAATTTAAACATTGACAACAATACCTACCGGAAGCTTTCCTGGATTCTAGCGTACAACCTTGCTGGCTGAATGCACTAACAGTAACAAGCATTGCATCACTGACAGTACCATCTAATTGTGACGGAGTCTAGAAGGAAAATGAATGATCCTATATTTATTGTCTTTTTTACAAAATCTCTTTTTTACAAGACTTACAAGTCATATTAATTCTTTCTCCACCACATCACTCATATTACAGGCAGTGTATTTGCCATAGCTGCCCGCTTCGCAGGCCGTTTGGCAACTACAGTTTTTAATGGAATTGTTATTGGAAAGATGCTGCTACTCATATTCTGTTACATTTCCCTTCGTCGTCTCTTACACCACTCCTAGAGGATCATATGGGGTAGTGGATTCTCTTACGCTACCAGTACACTGCGATTTGTACCAATATTAGAGAGAAATAAATACTACTTGATGACCGACTCATTATGAAATCTCTAAAGCTATACACCCGATTGACTTCAAATTTAGTATAGTTACTCATTTCGCGGTATAGATGCTCACTATGAACGGACTTTACGATAGTCACATCAAAAAATTCTTGATATTCTACATCTAGGTTCTGCAATAAAATATTATCGTTTGCCCAGCGAAGCAAGCGGAAATCAGCCCTATAAAACCCCAGAAAATATTAGCTGGTATATGGTAATAATGTGCTGTGATTTTATCACCAAGCCATTTTCTTATACTGTGTCTTTTTATAGAATAAAGGCGATAAACGTGCACAAAGTTCATATAATGATAGGTGGACGCTGTGGCCCATAGACATCTACATCTATCCTCAATTGAGAATCAATATGGAAGATGCATTGTCGTCAATGAACACTATTATGGAATGCCTCGTTTTCAGTAAAAAAGGGTCTTCGGTTCTCTACACTCACTATACAAAACACAGAAGCATTGAGCTGCTATTTGAAGCTGGCATTCTTTGAGAGCGTGGTCTTTCCCCGGTAGAGCCGACCAATTCATGCTGCAACCATAAAATAGCTGCAGCACGGCTCTACCACATTTTAAACACGCTATCTACAAATATTTTATCATTAAACATATACACTTGAAACTAACCCTTTGTAGTCTAACCTCCCATTTACTAGCGAAGTATAATGTAATTGTAGAGAGTACAACACAGCCAACGCTAGCTAGCCACACCTCAGTTGAAAAAGGGAGGGAAAATATATTGGTCACGTAAGAAAGTGGCGGCTGGCGAAAGATAAAGCCGACATTAAAAGGCGCTATTGTATCAGTATACTGAATCACATCCAAACGTTCTTTATATACTGCGCAGTTGGTACCTGAAAAATAAAGTTTTTTTAAACTGTAATCTTCAACGTCATCACCATCATTACAACCCTTCACAAGTCCACTGCAGAACATAGGCCTCCCCCAAGTAATGCCACAAAGCACGGTCCTGAGCCACCTGCATCCATCGACTTCCTGCATGTCTTACCTGGTCGTCACTACATCTAGTGGGAGTCATCGTATACTACGCCTACCGGTACGAGGCTGCCACTCGAGAACCTTTTTTCCCCATCGGTTGTCGGTTCTTTGAGCTATATGACCGGCCCCTTGCCCTTGCACTCTGGTTCTACTGCGGATATCCTCATTTATAAGTTTATCACGTAGAGAAACCCAGAGCATAGCTATTAATATAATCTTATGGATATCATAATTTTGAATAATATCCAGATGGGATTATATTACTTTTTTAATATTTACTATCAGTTACTAGGATAGTTGTTTAGTAATTGTGTAAAAATATCCATGACTTGAGGTCCCGTGATTGTCGTCTGACAGGCGTCAGAGAAAGGCTGAAACAGGAGTTGAGCAGCAGCACCTATCCGATAAAAACTCAAAATTAAAAAAATGGAAAAAAGGGAAAGAAAAATTTCTCATTGAGGCAACCCATGGGGCAGATCTAAGTAATATATATGTTACTAACCAGTTTTGCTGGGTGTAACTTACCGCTATAAATTCATTGTTGGCATACACGACTAAATTGTGGAATTTACTTTATTCTTTATTCCGATAAGTGTATAGTTTAAAGACCTTTCTATTAAAAGTTTAAGTTACAGCCTATATCTGTCCCACTGCTGGGCACAGGCCTCCTACCATTTCTGAGAGGGTTTTAGGGCAAGTAAATGTCCGCTGCGCTGCCCCAATGCATGTTGACGAACGTCACATGCTTTCGAAATTTTTTTTCTTATTTTTTAGACATGCAGGTTTACTCACGACTTTTTCCTTCACTTAGACTTCACTAACGTGGTAAATCAGCACTTTAAATTGCAATTAACAATTTGATTGGTGCTGGCGGAGATCGAACCCAAGTTGCTTGCTGTGAAATTTACAGGTAGCTCAGGGGCTAAGCCGACAGGTTTGCCTCCTCGTTTATAAAAAGACAATGTTATGCCGTTAATCGTCATTAAAGAACCAACATCCAAACACAGATTCGTTGACATTTATAATATAAGTAGAATATAAGCTAGTGCTTAATAATAATTCCTCGTGATTGGAGTAATGATGCTGTCTTGAATGACAAATTGTACTAAATCTATTCACGCTTCTTTTGAGGATCCCACATTGCCTTTGGACGGAAAAAATGTAGGCAAATAATTCCCATCCTTTCATACATCGTACCCAGAGAGTATAAAAATCACTACGTTTAGTGATACCTAATAATAACGAAGTAGCGCTGGCCTGAGGTGAGCAACAGGTAATATTTTTTTTATAATGAATCCAAACTTACTTCTTAACATAAAAACAAATAACGCACGTCGAAAAAAACACTTATAAAATTACATTGACAAGAAACAAACTCAATACTATGTTAAGGTATCTTTAGCAACCGTGCTAGGTCACAGACCTGTGTTACAGCTGCTAAGCCCTCCCCATTAAATACATACCAAACAGAAAAACAAAAACATAAAAACAATTTTACCGCAATCAATAAATGAATAAAAGTGGGAAGAAGTAGAATAATTAGCTATGTGCTATGTTCTAATCCGACAAATGGCTCAATACTATTATAGCTAAATGTTTAGTTGTATGGTACAAGAGTAAGGCAGGAGAGATATTTTATAAATATAAGCGAGATATTCTATGTATATAGGTACGTTTATAGTTTTGATGGAATATCTTGTAGAAGGATTCCTTGCTAATTATTGTTTTAGATATTTTTTTGTTATACAACAATTATTTATCACACAGCGATATTCCAAGTATACGCGCCGAAAATTTGATTTTCAAAAATTTTTAATTTGATTTGAACGTTCGTGATACGTTAACGGCAAAAGAGTGAAAATAGTTTGTTTGTCATTTTATCCGGTGATGTAGCCGTCTTGAAAGCTGAATTCTTAGATAGAATCTTGGGCTACACCACCAGTTACCATAAATATTAACGAACTAAACTTACTAACTAACAAGCTAAGTCTAAGCTGAGGAGCTGAATACCGAGAGGTTTATACGAAAAAGTCGGCTAAACGAAAATCCTATTGGTTTTTATTTTTTGTTCTATTTACTAGGTTTTTAAATTCTCTTTCATAATTTTTTTGCACTTCTATGTTATTTCTTTTACTTTTATATATGTAATAAACCTATCAAGTTCTGTACAAGTTAAGCAAAATTTTATAAATAGGCTGAAGAAGATCCAGATCATGAATTTACCGGAATTTTTCCTCAGAAGACTAGCGCAGGTTGAACATAACATTATGAATTGGGACCGATTTGTGGCGCCTTATTTTTATCCTCGAAATATACGGGGTTATTGTTCAAAGAGTAGTCAAATTTTAAACGTGAGTTCAAATATGTAAATAATGATATATCGTTATTGCAGTTTTTGAAAATACCAATAAAAAGGCTTCTACTTTTATTTGAAATTATCCCAAATTAAATGTGATTGGATTTATGAGCGACAACATTTTTGCCTACCGATCAACCCTTGCGAATGTGTGCATGCGCAGTAAAATCAGTTAAATAATGAATTACCACGCATTTTGAATTTTAAAGGTTAAAATGAATGTTTGTGATTTATTTTTCTTCACCACTTGCCTATATTGCTTATTCTGAACCTTCTCTGCAAATTTGGCCGGTTATTGCAAAATAACCCGTGATGATATTTTCATACATGCGGCAATTGATTTTTATTTTTATACAGATTTAATAAAATTTAATACTTATGTATATTTCTGGCTAATGAATGAATGCATTTTTTTTCTTTCTATTTTTAAAACCCACGCTCAATATCTTGATTCACATCTACATACGTATCTTATTTCTTTTCTATAAGCCTGATAAAGTCCACTCCTGAACGCACACATGTACAATTAACACTATGTTGTTAGTGAAAATAGTTTTTTTTTTAAATTAAGATAAACGTTTGGGAGTCACCGTTTATTTCAAGGTTGGTAAACCTCATTTTTACCTTTATTCAATTTCGCTAAGTCAGTAACTAAAAAGACGAAAATCAACGGTTGGAAGTTTTATGGTCTAAGGGGATCTAAGTATTTTGGTTATTCATTCTATACTCTATAATATTATCATCTATCCCAAAGTTTATTAGTACTTTAAGATTTAAAAAGTATGGAGACTTATAACTAGCTTTAGAATGATCTTACCACCTATACTTGTTAAATCAGCAGTCGTTTATTTATTTTATTTATTTGATAGTCTGTATTGCCCACCATACAAAAATTACAGATTATATAAAAGAAGTATGCAAAATAATTTCTATGGCGTGCAAGTTTGTTCTCTATATTTTCCTTAACTTTAAACTTAGTAAGATGATTTAAATATATAAAAAAATATTTAGGATAAAAGTAGATTGAAGATACCCACCCAAATCAGCTTTGTTATTTAGTATGTCATCTATCATTCCTGACCAACTCCCGTTTTGTTTGTAACCCCACCGATGGCTAAAGATGTATCGTGGAGTAGCGTTCAGCATCTGAAAGGCTAGTTTCACTACCATCCACGAGATCTTGGCTGTTGCGTCATGTTGGGCTTCTCTGGAATAAGGGTAGAATGTTTAGACGGCATCAACAGAAATAGGAAATTATAAATTTGCCACGTTTGGCAGGCGGTTTGGCAATGCCAGAAGCTTGGTATTTTGATATTATTTCCTGAAGCCGTTGTAATTTTTAAGGTTTCATGCTCTTTTAAATATATGTTAATATGGTCATGCGGTTAATATGGTCACTTTCTTATATCTCAAAAACTAAAGCCTTGTTTGCATAGATGGCTTTGTGATACGATATCACTTCATTAGTCAATAAAATATCTTGATCATCATCATCATCATTACAGTGCTTTACAAGTCCACTGCTGAACATAGGCCTCCCCAAGTAATGCCACAAAGCACGGTCCTGAGCCACCTACATCCATCGACTTTCTGCATTTCTTACCAGGTCGTCACTCCATCTAGTGGGGGGGTCGCCCTACACTACGCCGGTTATCGGTTCTTCGAGCTATATGTCCGGCCCATTGCCACTTCAGCTTACTAATCTGTTGGGATATGTCGGTCACTCAAGTTTTACAGCGGATATCCTCATTTCTGAGTCTATCACGCAGAGAAACTCCGAGCACAGCCCTCTCCATAGCTCGCTGAGCGACCTTGAGCGTCCTCATACGGCCAGCAGTGAAGGACCACGTCTCAGTTTCGTAGGTCATCACTGGTAACACGCACTGGTTATACAATCTAGTTTTCAGATTTTGAGGTATACCTGATAACAAGATCTGTCGTAATTTCCCGAACGCTGACCAGCCGTGTTGAATCCGTCGATTGACCTCTCGGTTGAAGTTGGACTTACCTAGTCGGACTATTTGTCCCAGGTAAACGTACTCGTCAACAACTTCAATCATAGTGCTTCCAACAACTACCGGCATAGGTGTGAAATGGGGTCAAATGTCAAAATTGGGTCAACAGTATAAGTCAGCCGACAGCTGACTTATACTGTTACTATAATATCAACTATCAAAATGACGTCGGTAAAACAGCGCCCCCATTGACACATATTTACTATGGAATTGGTCAATTTCCAGTAATAGCATATTGTAAGCTGTTGATGATAGGAGTAGAATAAAAAAAGAAACATAAATAAAATAAATTTTTAGACAGTGTACATTTCAACTTTAAAGTGAGCGAGAAGTATTTAAAAAGATATCTCGGCAGCAATATTAAATTTTTAACAGATTTTTAGCTCTGGCGCTGTGCCCTATCGACCGAGCTAAATAACCGAGAAAGCTGTGAACATACATTAAAAAAACAACGAATATAGAACCTCCTCTCCTCCGTCTTTTTTGAAGTCTTTTAAGAAACTTGTGCTAAAGGCATGACTAAAAAAAACGGTCGCTTAAAATAAATGTTATTTTATATATTTATAATTTACTCGTTTTTAGAGTTATTTTTGTGATTCGCGGTAATATAGATACAATAAAATTTTGTTAAATCTGCATACTTTTTTTGCACACGGTTTTGTTAGTTTGTGAAACTGTGCGTGTGTAGTTTCAATCTTTGAGCATAGAATAAAGGCTCTAGGCTCTTTTCTATACTCAAAGGTTTCAATGCTCTGTATTTTAGTTTTATTATCATTATTATTACCTATTTTCAATTTTTTTTCTCAATTTTTACTTAGTAATAGATGAACGGTAGGCGTAGTGTAGGGCGACCCCCCACTAGATGGAGTGACGACCTGGTAAGATATGCAGGAAGTCGATGGATGCAGGTGGCTCAGGACCGTGCTTTGTGGCATTACTTGGGGGAGGCCTATGTTCAGCAGTGGACTTGTGAAGGGCTGTAATGATGATGATGATGATGAATAGATGAAACGTTTGGCGACTGCTCGTGAGTTTTTGAAAAGGGCACCGGCAGAATATCTACACTGTGATTATTACAAGGCGATACAAGGCAGTCAGATGCCTATTAGTAAAGTTGGGCGTTATAACATACAACAGATAATATATTTCATTATATATTTGTAATCTTACAACACTTTAGAATAATGAACCATTGACTGTTATAATATTATATTCATTATCGTTAGAAAGCGTCATCTGTTTACGTTTACGGTCTAGCCGTCGGCCGAGACGTGGCACCTCAATGGGAGTCAAGAAAATACTACATTCCTACATTCATTATGCCACAAGGATTGCGTATAGCTTACACTAACTTAAACTCTAAGCTAACTTAATAAGAACTTATTTTACTAACACTAAATTATAACGGTAGACAAAAATATATTATTTCTTTCATAGCTAGCTGTTGCCTGTTGTGCCTGTTATTTAAGTTTTTGGCTGTTGTAAACCTATTAGTGGCTGTATTAGAGTAGACACTATACACACTTATTCATAGAGATGGGCCGAAGGATTTCACCGAATACGAATATTCGGCCGAAAGTTTGGTAAAACTTTTACCGAACCGAATATTAGGCCGAACATTATTCGACAGAATCACCTTGATACCTAACCAATTTATGTCGAAACTTGTTACCGTAAAGGGCGCGGGATTAGAGCCGAACCCTGCCCCTCGCTCCCCCGCCCCACCTGACATGTTATTGCATCATCTAGTACCGAGCAAATTGCCAGCACATGCTTATGTTTTGTGAGAAAGTAGAAAGTATTTCGTTATGTTAAAATATACTTTCAACAGTAAAATTATGAAAGTAATGGCATTACTCAATTTGTACATTTCAATACAGTGGACACTTTAAGTACCACTTTAACGAATGTTCGGTGATTTAACCGAATATTCGGCCGAATACGAATATTCGGTAAAGCTGCTAAATATGCCGAATACCGAATATAAAACGAATATTCGGCCCATCTTTACTTATTCAGTTCAATTTATCTGTTGTCCATTGAAAACACTAGTTTCGTATGGAGATATGAAGCATCCTTTCAACTTTCCGCGTCTATTAAGCATTCATGGCAAACAGGCATAAAATGAGGACAAGTGTGTTTCTATCACGCTAACGCCAGAGTTCAGTGCTGTTTCACCGCATTCGGCGTTAATCCGCCGTGTTCAGCGCTGTTCTGCACTTTCAGCGCTGTTTCGCCGTATTCAACGCTGTATGCGGGAACTGGGCGGCAGGAAACAAGCTTCAGGACGCCGATAGTTTAGGTAATTTATTTTTACAGTGAAAATAATGGTATTTAAAAAAATTAAAAAACATAAGCTCTGCTTTATAGTTAGTTCAGTTAGTATGCGAAGTTTCAATTCAGTTATAATGCGAAGTTTTATTTAAAGTATTTTACGAATAACAGCGGTTTATTGTTCAGTTTGGAGGTAACTTTGTCTTTGTCTAACATGGTACTTAATATTAATCCTCAACTTTACCGTATATTTATTTCAAAATGCTGCAAATATTTTCGGCATAATGGAGGATCTTGCTAAGTTGCAACTTGCATTGGTTGATACATTTGATTCGCAATAATTTCGCATACAATTTTCGAGATAATGTGTAAACAGAAATTATTTTGTAGTTTGGTTTTGTTACCTTAATCGCAATAGCTCTGAAATTTCGTAAAATTTTTGAATATTCATCCGAAAATGCTCTTTAAATTTAATATAGTTTTCTTTTAATTTGGGTGTCAATGTTACATATTCTCTAATGGGGGTCTGTTTCTCCAATGGGGGTCAACCCTATTCTATTTCTTACATTCTATTTCTTCTAAAAGAAACGTAATGATAATAATATCTCACGTGGATCTGTCCATGTTGAGTGTTCAGTCATCCAGTGCTATACGCGGCAGATAGAAGCGTTTCAAGGGAGATAGCACGCTATGACGGCCTTTTGCAATCTTACCATGCTTTACGCGGCTGATAGAAGTGGTACTGTATAAATGTAACCAAAATCTTACAGCGAAACGCAAATGGAACTGAATAAATGTAGTTAAACTTGATGTAATGTAACAAACATTACAAATAATTGCATATACATGGGGTGCAATTATTTGTAATGTAGCTTCAAGTGAAGAAGTTTCTTTCCTTATCTTTTTTCAATTACTGCTTGTTCATTATTTATTAATTTATTTAAAGGAAACATGCATAATAGTAAATCATGTGATTAATAAAGGATAAAAACATATAAGACGTCTCGAATCCCGCACGGAATAAATATTTGTATGATCTACAAACAATTGTTCCGGGTCTAAATGTTTTCACTTGTGAAATTTATGTATGTAAACTGCCCCCACGACACAGGAGTATTTCCTAGTGTGAAGTTAACGTTATATTAAAGAAATAAATACACCCGCAGATAAATTAACTAATCAGAAACAACTAACATCAACAATTCTGTGTAAGTGGAAAACCATTAACACACAATTCGTTAAGTGGGTGACGTAAGAGAAATGCTAGAAAAAATCTTATGGTTTCCGACAGATGGCGGTATCACCGGCTAGCAACGTCGAAGGTGCTCACGTCCGGTACTGTAATCGTCAATTAAACTGCCAAATGTGACGATTAAGTTAAGCCTTCTCTATAACGGGATCATGTCCAACACCCGACTTTTATGGCCCAATAAAGAAAAAGAAGGACAAAAAACATATTCAGGTGTGTAACTTACAGTCTGTCTTCCAGGTGGAACTGAGTGCTATTGCTGTCTTGAATCACGTTAGCCATAGTTAAGGGATGACCCATTATATTTTGCCGTCTTCGAAAAAGCTCCTTATGAGGCCTTATGTCGAAGTAGGTTCCGTTGTAATAGCCTCTAGAATTTGATAGAACTTCACCGATTGGCGAAGTTTTGTGAACTGTCCACAAAAATATCATAAAAAATATAAAGAGAAGGCCAACTTTTTCCTGTTTGTTAACATTTCAATTCAATTTCATAAAATAAGATGGAATAGAATTTAGTAGAATAGAGCAGAATAGAGTAGCATAGAGCAAAATATAATGAAATACAGTGTTAAAATGTGGGATATAGTGGTATAGAGTGATATAGAGTGAAATAGATTGTAACAGAGTAGACTTGTGTGGTATAGAATACAATACAATGAGTTGAATGGAATAAAATATAATTTAGTAACTCAGGATCGCAGTCAGACGCAGCACATTTTCGTGATCTAAGTCTGAGCTACCACAGCTCAAATACATACTAGAATGATGATGATAACGTTCTCCAGACTAAATTCTGTCTAAACAGAGGCTTGCCATCTGCGCAGGACAGGATTATAGTGCCCGAGTGTATGCGCAAGCACAGGTGTTTTCTTTCTTTATTCCGTCACTTTCGTAGTTCGATCATCCGATGGGACGGTAAACCGGCATAACCGGAAAGAGATCAGGCGCAGAACCAATGGCGTTACGTGCTTTCCGAGGCACGGGGGTGTAAAGTAGCTTTGTTTTTTACTCTAGGCTGCTGTTGCTGAGAACTTGCTGACAGTAAAACTCGATAACTTATTAAATAAGTTATTGAGAATGATGACAATAATAATGTAAGCTAAGTAAATGTTCAAAACTTACGTTCGTCTAATGTGAATGTATCATTTTCTCGACTTGCCAACACAAAGTCACTTCCAGGCGATAGTGGAACATCACTTAAAATATTTGATTTATCTTCTAAAGAATTCAGCACCAGCCAATGATAAGGAAAACCAAATAAATTACTCGCTGAACCCTGTTTGAAAATAATAAACGTTGACCTCTTTTTGTTTCTTAAAAAAAAAGATGTAGGAAAAGTGAACTATATGCTGTAACGTAATAGTCTATTTTCCCTTCCATTTTATTACATGGTTTGATTGATTGATTTTTCAATCCTGATATTTTTAGTCCATTCTAGTTCTACAGCTATTTCTCAATGTTCGTGATTTAATATTTAAAACAAATTCGTAAACAAATAAGGTAAATTAGGTTATAAGAACAAAAAATTTGATTTTTAATAAAAACTAAAAATCGGCCTCAAAGAAATACAAAGAAGAAAGAAAGCTTTTAAAATCGGTGCTGAGATAATCATAGTGTTTAGAAAAAATAAAGCTGCAGCTTCAGAAACTGAAATTATATATACGGAATGTCGACTCTTATTTTTTTAAGTTTCAGGCATAGTTTTGTCAGATTTCCTGATTTGCGAAGGACATACCAGATTTTCAGGGGTCTGATGCCAATTCAGCCTTTTTGGACGCCAAATGTCCCGATTTCTGAATTTATGAGATTTATTACTTTTCAAAAATGGATTAGTAATTCAAAAAATTCAGAGTATGCGCCAACTACATGAGACTAAATCCTCCGACAATGTGATTTTTTAATTTAGACGAAAAATTATTCACTAATTAGATCAAATAATAATTATAAGTACATTACGCATTGTGTCAAAAAGTGACTCAGGGCATTCAAAAAGGTTACAAAAAATAACTTTTGTAGGCATTGTAGCTGTCCCGATTTGAACACCGAATTCCCGTTTATTTTTAACTTTGGTAATGAAATTTGACACGCTAGACCTGGCAACATTATCTGGGCAGGACAGAATTATAGTGTACGCTAGTACAGATGAATTATCTATTCTCTCACACTTAGAGTCCTTGGAGAGATCAGGCGTCGGACCAACGGTTTTATGATTATAATAATAATAATAATGTCCTAACAGACCGAATCGAATTTCGGCCACGGTGGCCTGCCTCAACGGAGGCTAGCCATCGGCGCGGGACAGGATTATAGTGCCAAAGTGTATGCGTAAGCATAGGTGCACTCTCTATTCCCTCACTCTCATAATCCGATGGGACGGTAAACCGACACGACCGGAGATAGATCAGGCACAGGACCAACGGATTTACGTGCTTTCCGAGGCACGGGGGTGAGACACTGCCAACTTCCTGACTCCGGGCAACTTCTGAGAATTTCTTGACGGAAAAACTCAATAATTAATTTTTTGGCCCAACCCTGGATTCGAACACAGGACCTCATGATCAGCAGTCGCACTACTACAACTACTAGACCAACGAGGTATATTTTAGTTTAGTTTAGTTTTTAGTTTAGTTTAGACTAACGAAGAAGTCAAGTTATGAGAATCACAAGCTCAAGGTAACAACAGAAATGACGTCTAAATAGTTACATTAAAAACTTCTTACCCTATTTTGCCACTTTTGGGGGTAAAACTTTTGCTTTAAATTTATAAGGACCAATTCTCAAGCATATATCTATATATCCTATTTAATAAACAAAGAATCAATTTAATGGTTTTACAATTAACGAAGATACCGCATAACATACATAAGAACAAAAACATCCTCTTAAGAACCTACTTTTTTGAAGTCGGCTAAAATATAGTAAAATCATATATATATCCCACTTCTAAGAACAGGCCTTCTTTCATTTTGAAAGTGATTTTACATCGAGACTTACCATCAGTTGAGTTGCTCGTTTTTCCCCTCTTCTCTAAAAAAGCAGAAAAGTATCACCCTACTTATATTGTTTTAATTTCTTATAATATGCTGGTTTTCAAACGATGTTTTCCTTCATCCCTTGTCACTATTCAGAACTTAAAACTTACAACTAAGGTGGTACCTGCGAAACTCGAACTCTAGTTGTTCGCTTCTTAGTAAAGAAATTTAAAGCCCTTTCTAAAGTATAAAGTGGTAGATACATGTTCCTAATTAGAATTATTTGTTTTTTTATTTGTTTTAAATAGTTTTTTCCAAAGTGGCAATGAAAAGTGGTATCTACCTGATAGTAAGCCAATGCTACATCCCATGGACACCTATCTACACGCTCCCCGGCTAAGGATCAATAAGCAGAGACTAGGATTGAATAAATGTTGATTGATGTTTTGATGTCTCGAAGGCCTTTGACAGAGTTTGGTACGCTAGCCTTTTGGATAAGATTCCAGCGTACGGATTATCCCCTGATCTGATCGACTGGATAAAGGACTTTCTGAGTGAACGGTCTCTCCGGATCGTCATCATTGGCTGCTCATCCGATCTTGTGGCGACTAACGCCGGTGTTCCTCAGGAACTCTGGTTCAACTGTGGAGACACAACTCTCTTTCTGCTACATATTAATGATCTGCTTATGCCCGGTATATATGCATGCAGGGTATGCAGACGATAGCACAGTTGTGGAGTGATACCAGCCAAGTCCTCGGGCCAGTCGGGATCAAATCCAGTCCGAAAGAGAAGATATGGTAGAGCGTGTGAATCTCACAGTACAGGCAGTCTCTGAATCCGAAATCCGATGTGTCAATCTTCTTCTCTTCTTGTGAAATTCAACACCCTGAAAACACAACCGTGTCTCTTCACTGCAAAAAGGAGTCAACTCACCCTGGCTCCTTTTTCCGTAATGTATCACTGGAATACACCGACTGCCTTCAGTTGTTGAGGGTTGAGATATTCATAGAAGTACATCGAGTCCAAGGTCAAAGCAGCTGCATGGAAGCCAGGAGTCCTTGCAAAGTTGCGGTGACACTTCACATCGGGATAGCTGCTTACTTTATATAAAGTGCAAGTCCGGTCATACATGAAGTATTGCTGGGATGGTTCTGCAAAATGCCACCTAGCAGGCACTCAATGGAAAGGCATGCTAAGAGGCTTATTGGTGACCCGAATTCTGTTACAACCAATCTTACCAGCCTCGAAAACAGGCGCAAAGTACCCAGCATTTCGGTTTTCTACACGATGCATTTGGAAGAGTGTGCGCTGGAATTGCATAATTTAATTTCTTACTCTTCCTTCCACCATCGGACAACCAGACGTTCGGCCAGTCTCCACTCTTTCGTTGTTGACTTACGCATTCGAACCAAACGGTTTGCTTTGTCGTTCATCATACGTACAGCAAAGGAATGGAATGATTTGCCAGTATCTGTCTTTCCATCCGATTATAGTGTGGGTGTCTTCAAGGCAAGAGTGAATAGGCTTTTGTTAAGTCAGTGCGCTTCTTCACCATCTTAGGCTACATCACCACTTACCATCAGGTTGGGTTGTAGTCAAGCGCTGGCTTAGAATAAAAAAAAACGAGGCCAGTTATAAGTCTCTGGTTCTTTAAGCACACCATACGAAACACAACAGCATTATGCTGCTATTTTATGCTGGTATTCTGACAGAAATATAGACAGCGAGTACATATAATCACACGATTGCCTCGTCGGTCTAGAGGTTGTAAAAGCAGGATTCCCGGAGTCGTGGTTAGATTTTCGATCAGACTGGCCACCATGACCGAAATTCGGTCTGGAAGACATATTGCGGAATGCATTCAATAAAAAGAAGAAATGAAAGTAAACAGTGGCAGTAGCTAATCATCACTAGATAGCTACTATACGATTGACGGTAGTATTGCTCTTATTTGTTTTTTTTTCTTATAAGAAATAGTAAAGAATTCCGTAACGTTACCACAAAAAACTTTTATACTTTTCAATTGTTAGAAGTATATTAGAATATTGTAGCACAGTCTCCCTACGGCTTGAACGCATACAAAAAAGATTTTTATGGCATCTTGCCTTTTCAACAGGAAAATCATATAAAAATGCATCATACGTTGACAGATTAAAGACATTTAAAATGATCTCACTGTCTAAACGCCGAGATATTCTGGATTTGCAACTTTTATATAAAATATTTATAAATAAGTTAGATTGTCCTTTATTACTAAGTAAATTTAATTTTCGTATCCCAATTAGATATCCTCGTAAGCACATTACTCCTCTTTCGCCGCCCCTTCGTAGATCTGTACTAGGATCTAATTCCCCAATACCCAGACTTTGCAGACTTTTAAATACTTATAATAATGTAGCAGATATTCACCTCGACTCTTTTAACGTATTTCGATACAAAATTTATCAAACTATTAATATTTCTTTGTAGTACCTAATTTGTTTTGTATTAATTTTTTTTTGTAATTGTGCATTGTATATTTTTAGCTATTATGTAAAGGTTTGTAGGAAATGCTGTGAGCACTAAGCATGCGGTGTTTACCTATTATTGAATGTGCACTTAGTTCATATCACTGTCTTAGAATTAAGCAAATGTATTAGTATACCAAATAAATAAATAAATATTTGTGCTGCAGTCATAGATCGGCTGCAGCGTGGCTCTCCCAAGGTTACAGTATCCAAGTATATGACAAATATTATACGCTTTGTATTTGTTGCATGTTTGCAATCTAAATATTTCAAAATAAAACCTAGCTCAGGTAAGTACTAATTAGTTATTACTTACATTCGAATAAAGTTTTTCAGGCCAGGGACAATCCAAATCAAGCAGGAACATAGTTTCATGGCCTTGATAATTACTTATATGTGTTGAAAATATTGATCTTATTCCAGCATTGGATAATTCATTTAAAAGTTTTAAGTTTTGGTCTGAAAATTTTGTTTAATGTTTACTTTTAAATCATGATATAAAATTTAATAAAATGTTTCGTTTTCTAAATTCTTCAACTTTGCCGCAAATTCGCCCGCAGAAGGCCTCCGAGTTAGTTATATGACGACGGTGCCAACAGTGTCCCGTCGTCTGTTTTTGTTCTAAATGATAGCGCTATTTTGGTTTTTACAGCTTCATTTGGTTCAGGATTTGCGGTCTGCGAGTTTAAAAATAATAGTGATGATGATGATGATGATTTGGTTAAGGACCAACCGTTGGATCATCTATAGGGTGTTGTGAGTTATTTAACGGCCGTCCAAGCAAAATTGAGTGGAACCCGTCTTTGACTGCTTAGTTAGTATCCATCGGTACTTGTATTGGTCGATGATGTCCGGTTAGCATCTTCATACTCAGGACGGGTACGTGTAGACCTGACTTAATTGGTATTTTTGTATTAGTGGGCATAAATCTCTCAACTTACTCCTTTTCCAGCACAAGCCGTAACTAATGAAGTATGTAGGCTTATGTTCTTTTATAACAAAGCTTTTGATGAAATGAATAGTGACTAGATCCTTAGATCTGACTTCTTTATTGCACAGCAGTATCAAAATGAGCCCGATCAACATCGTAACTGTTTCAATTCGGGAAATGTTGAAATTAAAGTGATGAAAATTGTATTTAACTTCGACGACAATTGCTTGCATAATTAAATCCATAAGCTTTTAAATGGTTTACGAATGATCTAATATTCCACGAACATTTGGTTTCTATTCAAATAAGAGAAGCGAGTAACAATTATGGCAAACTAATTACACGCTTCGATGAAAATTGACTGTAAATATTAATTTAATACCTCTAGTAAAATATTTTACAATACTAAATTGTATAGTTTTTTTATAGGATAGGGTGACAAACGAGCACACAGTCCACCTGATGGTAAGTGAATGCTGTGGCCCATTGACATCTACATCTATCTTCGATTACGAATCAAAATGCAGATGAGTTGTCACCCGTTGGGACTAAGATGGAATGCTTGTTTTCCAGTAAAAAGGGTTTCCGGTTCTCTACACTCACCATAAGAAACACAGCAGTGTTCAGCTGCAATTTCACGCTGGTATTCTGTGAGAGCGTGGTCCTTCCCCGGTTGAGCCGGCCCATTCGTGCTACAACTATACTACTAATATAATTTCAGCATGGCTCTAACACGCATAAAGTATCCAAGCTTAGCTTCAAATAAATATGATTGTGATGTTCTCTTGGTCTATTTGATTTGTTTCAATATATATAATCCCTTTTTATTGGTATATCAGTATTCAATATTTTTTTAGACTTGACATAATCATGATTAATTGAAGATGTATATGAAAATGTAGATGATTGGATTATAATATTCCTTTATCATCGTATCCCTTTATCATGTGCTGCTAATGTGCTTCTTTTGTAGCCTTATTTCTTTTATCTTGGTCCCTGTGCGAGACCCGAAAATGCTATCCTTAATTTGCCTACGCAAAGCGTGACGATTGTGGCAATCCATACAATGGAAAAGCATTTTTACTGACTGAAGAAAAAGAAAAAAAATATTTTGATTTATACAAGAATTTTATTTGTGCTTAGGCTACTAAGTGTTCCAAGATGACATAAATAGTTGATACAATAAGCAAAACTCTCCACATGAATTTTGATTTTCACTGCTATAGGTGTACTTTCTTTACGACAGGAAGCGGTCTATAACTTGATTCCGTGCTTTTTGCTTCGCTCTCAAGATAATACTGAAAAAATAATATTTAATTTTGGACAAGTTGGAATGATATTAAAGATATTAAAACTTAATTCGCAACCATCCGCTCTATTAAATACAATGATGTGTCTTACCTGGATTGAAGAGCACCTCCCGCCCTCCCTCAATTGCGTGCACTAATTCCGTCACCACTTGTCCCAGCACCACTACTCCCAACACCTCTACTCCCATGTAGTCTACATCTCCTGAGGATACATCTCCTGTAGAGGCGAAACACGTGTCGTATTATCGTTGATGGTGTGTCTTTCCTGGAATAGTGGTGTTGGAAGTAGTGGTGCCGGGCAATGAATTTCCGCAAAGTAACGCCTGATTCTATCAATTATGGAATGATATTGTTGTAGTTATAGTATTCTCTTTTGGTATCAACCTGATAATAAGTAGACGTCATCACTCATAGACATACCTCTTCCTATATCTATCCCCAATTAAGAATTCAAGCTCACAGTCGACCTGAAGGTGATTGGATGTTGTGACCCATAGACATCTACATTTATCCTCAATTAAAATTTAAAGTGCAGATGTGTTATCATCGCAGAGATTTTTTTTGAATGCTAATACCTATTAACTCTTAGGTTGTCTCAACAAATAAATTAAAAACAAAACCATAGTTGCTAAGTGTAACACTCATGGGAAGGAATACATGGAGTCTCTTACGTCGTCACCACGCGGTAAATGTTGCCAGTGTAAATATTATAAACTAGTAGGTTTTAATTCCCCTTTCATTTCTGAAAGTGGAAAAATATAAAATATATAAAATACCTGTTCACATAATAATTATTTGATTTATGTGAATTAAAAATAAATAATAAAATAAAAAAAACGAATAATAAATTCTGTAGGATAAAATCCGTAAAATTTGATTTATTTAATATTTATTATAATATAATACTTACATTCTTTTATACGTGATCTCCAGCAAAAGCACCGCGGGGGCCAAGAGCATGCCGTAGGTTGTAGCCAATAAAGCAGGATACATATCGGTGATGCCGACGCTGCTGAACGTAGATATGGTGCCGGAGCATCGCGGCCGCGGCACGTGCAGCCGATGATGGTTGTTCGCCTGGATGCCGGTCTCGCGGATTTTCATGAAGCTGGTTAGAGCACATAAAATATTCATTTGGTTATACTTCAGGGATTAGTATTTCACAATACCGAACTATTTTTTACTATTTTTACAAGTACATTTTTGGAATACCCCTTCCAATAACATGCTGAATACAATCAATAAAACTCCTTTAAATAACTTCTTGCATATCATTACCTGAAGGCCATTATTAACTGACATTCTTTTAATTCTTAAATTTAATTATTTACATATTTATACGGATATGTATGTATTTTTTTTTGCGCCCGAAGCAATTAAAGGGCTACCCTATACGTAGGGAGGCGGAAAATGCATTACCCATACATACCACGATAGTCGGTCTATCGTGGTTATGAGGGACTCACATCCTACCAGGGACCCTAAGTGATACCCTCTAAAAACCGCCTTTGAGGACAGGCAACCGGCTGATTAAGCTTGATTGTGCCTTATCGTGAGCGACCCTCTTTTGGGAAAAGAGGGGCACAGGCGGCTACAGCCGCTGAGGGAGTGCCTACGAAGGCAAATTAATTATGAGTAAATAATTTAATTTAATTAGAGTCGGCCTGAGCCGCCAGGAGGCAGTTTAGGTCGTTTGTTAGTTTATTAGGCGGGTCCGATAGAGTTTTCGGCCTGCGGACTCGATAGCGAGAGGGGGGTGGGGCTGCATAAGTAGCTGCCTCACGAATTAATTGGTTTGAGTGCGACTCTGAGGCTTTGAAGAAGTTCTCAGAGAGTTTTTGGAGAAATTGTTGAATTGTGGGGAGCTCTAGGTCCCGATGTAGGTCAGCATTACGGACGTACCAAGGTGCGTTCGCAGCTCGACGACAGAAAAGGTTTTGAACTATTTGGAGTTCATTAATAATTTTAGGGTTGGCGTGGGCAAAAACGGGGCCCGCGTAGGACATGACTGGTCGTATACAGACCTTATAAAGGCCCAACATACTGTTGAGCCTACTCAGATAAAACCGTGCGTGACGGGTTACTCTTTTGACGTGACACCTAAATAAAGTCTAGAGTGACACCTAAATATTTGGCGATCGTATGCCAGGGGACAATGGTCCCTAGCATACGTATTGGTGGAGTGTTTTTGAGACGGCGTCGTTTATAATCGAAGTGAACGGTGGAGCTCTTCTCCGGGTTCACATCGATGCGCCATTTTTTGAACCAAGCTCCTAAGTCATCAACTGACTTTTGGATCTTGTTCCGTATGAAGGGCAGTGAGATACCTTTGCAGTAAATAGCAGTGTCGTCTGCGAAGAGGGAGAGCTGAACACCTTTCGACGGGATGGGAATGTCGTTGGTGAACAGGATGTACGTATTAAATTATGTATGTATACACACGTATAATACATACGTATTAAATATGTATGTATTAAATTTTATGTTTATATATAAAAATTACGTGTCATATTGCTTGTCCGCGATGTAGTCCTTAACTACTGAAATGAATTTGTGCACACTGTGTGCAGTTTGGTCCAACTTGAGAGATAGGAGAGTTTTATCCCGGTAAATGACCATCAATATTTTTTAATTTTGAATTTAAGGATTTTTTATAGGAATGTTCATCAGAAAGGGCAGAACAACGTCTACCAGCAGATTACTGTGAAACTGGCCATGCCGCGCTATATATGTTTATATACATGATATGTAATAAAAAAAAAAAACAAATAGATAGATATTCTATATATTATGTATGTGTGTGTATGTATATAGGTACTATGCATTTGTATACCTACGTTTAGATATTAAATGTTTGTAAAAATTATATGATTGTTGTTTTTCACCTATCAACATTGGTCTTTAGTATACTGGGTTGACTAGCGGAGAATGCTATATGGCGTATATATGCACTAATATATGGTTAATTATGGTTGAAAAGAGTATTAATAGTTTTATTCTATTATTTTGTATAGTTTATAAATAATATATTTATTACAGAAATCAAATCCGCGAAATGCTTAGATGCTGAAAATGCGACAGGTCGCTAGCCCAGTGTTTGTAAAACATAGCGATTAGCTATATGTATAACGTCTAAGTTCCTTAAAAGCGAAATGTATGATTGAATTACTTGATTTTGAAGAGGTCTTTGAAAGGAGATCTCTTTTGGCCCGGCACCCATGGGTCTATCTCATTGATGTAGTCAATCTCCACAAGGTCACACTTCTCGTCCTCTTGATATGTTTCTTGGATAAGCCTGTATCCTGGATTGAGCTCCATGTGAAACGCAAACAATCCCTTAAAAAGAAACAAAAGATGTGCTGTGTTTACATATATTTAAAAAAATGAAGTGATAAACAGGCATACATTCCATCTATTTTTTTATTGATCGGGGTAAAAAAGTGCTTAGGAGAATTTTTGGACTTACGAAAAGCCTTTGATAGTGTGTCTATTCCCATACTACTAACTCGTCTGGAAAACATTTGCATTAGAGGCATTACGTATCTGTGGTTTAAAAACTATTTGACAGGCAAAGGACAAAGAGTGAGAGTAGATGAACACTTTAGTAGTGAAATGCCACGTAGCTACGGTATTTCCGCAAGGAAGTACACTTGGGCTGACTCTTTTTCTTATTTATATTTATGGTCTTTGTAGGTTGAGTATGAGTGGTTGCAAACTTATGGTGTTTGCAGACGATACTTTACTTCTTTTCATAGCGACAGCTGAACGGGGCTACGTAATCTAGTTGAAAAGGAATTAAGCAGAGGACAACCTTTTGTCTCTGAATACCTCTAAAACTAAATATT